CAACTCATGCCTTATTATACCTTATCGTGCAAGCCTACTGAATCAGGTGCTCCGAGGGTTTGGCACTGGAAGTGAAGGTCAAGTGGTGGCCTCAATCACATGTTGCCCAAGTCCATGTGCATGTGTTCGCTTTTGACGAAGCCTGCCACTTACTTCCGGCCCTTCGAACCTATATTTTCAGGCAAGCAAAGGTGGCTTGGACAAAGAAAGATGCCAAAACGAACAAACGCAAGGTGGAGGAACCACAGCCGTCAAACCTTGACAACAAGACCGACAAGAAGGCAAAGAAGGCCCTTTCACAAGCCCTTCTTCGCATTGTTTTGTGCGTGTGCCACTGGTCTGTATGGAAGTCAGTCATTCTTTCGGTAGGAGAAGAAAAGGAAGGACAAGTGAGCTAGGGAGCCAACTGGCATTTTGATAGGGATGCTGCGCCAATCAACACGTGATAACATGTGTAAAGGCCAGCGTTTGGGATTTCAACAAGTGCCATCCTTGCAATATGGCAAGGTTAGGGCATTGAACTTTGGGGGCCAAGGTGAATGGGACCATCAACAACATACTTGTTTTGCATACTCAACGCCTACAAAACTGCCTTGCCCAGTTTCAGCTTAGATGGATCGAAGGATGTGTGATCTCCACACGTCTTTTCATGGGGAACAAGAAAGAAAAACTAATCCGTTGCCAACACTTCATGCAAGGTTTCAGGATGTCCAACGTTTTCACTCCCACCGCCAGGTCCTGGCAGGATCATGCGGCAGCTGGCTTCCAACATTGCTGATGGCGTCAAGACCTGAGGTCAGCGTTGGTCTATAGTGCAGTCCCTGGATTTCAAGCTCATGAACTCGCCGGCCCCGCCGTACATCAATCTTCCAGATTTAGAAAGGCCAATTCTTTTGTTAGGTCGACATCTCTTCAAGCCACAGCACCATTGCGAGGCTCCAGTTCTCAGCTACTCCACACATCTTTGAACTAGCATCTTTCTATCTCTTTCACTTTAATGACCGCCACTACTTCCACAAGCCATGATTCCGATGAAGAATGGCTTTCAGAGCTTCTGCAAAGCAACCACACGGAGGCGGATATCTTGGGGTGACTTTGAGTGGTTTTTTATCAGTGCGGAATCGTGTCCTCAAGAATTGGATGGGGGGGACACGTGATGGGACCAGGACTCATCTGATGCCCGGACATCCTCAGCACCTGAGCCGCCTGCTGCATTGTCCGATGACCTTGGTCCACAGTGGGAAGCGTTTGTGCCAGCTGAGATGCGGGACTTGCCAAGATTAAAGATGTGCTTGAATGATTTGGAATCCCAGGAGAGCATCTCCCACATATTCCCAAAAAAGACATTGGCCACCGGTGGGGCTCTCCGCCATGTCCTTTCTGAAGTCAGTGCCATTCTCCACAGGGAATACCCGTGCATATTCAAAGTAGGCTGGACGCACTCCTTGACTTGGAGATGGAACAACAAACTCTACGGCTATGTGCATGATGTCAGGGACAATTTCGAGTATATGGTTGGTTTGTGCATGTCTGAAAGCGCTACTTCTGCAGCTTCGATGGAAGCCTTCCTTGTCCATCAATATCACGGACCCTCATCTCAAAACGTGTTGCATGCATAGCTGTGTCCACAAGAAGGTTGTAAGAATATATACCCGAATGTCCTGAGGTTCGCCAGGTTGCCGCAACATCCGGCTTGGTGGAGACTCCGTTGACGCTTCATCTGACGGGCCTTTCTTCACGTACTTAGTGTATAGGAGCTTTAAACACCCGCCAAAGGGGCGGCTACGACTTTGTAGGGCAAGAGCTGTTCCACAATAATTGGGTACAGTCTTGTGGTTCTGGTTGGTTTGGGGGCCCAGGAATGACCACGAGGAAGTCCCAAAAAACTTGAGTTCCGCACCGCTTCATCCACGGATTTTGCGAGCCATCACGCGCCTAAGTGCAAGACAGATTCACAAGCTCCTAGATGCGATCTGAATGGCTCAAGTTCAAGTTCCCCCTTCCCTTCAAAAGCAAGGAGGTCGGCATCTTTATTCCAAACAACTATCATGTTAAATTTGGTTCGTTTTTTTGGGGGAGCCGGAGCCCAATCAGGACTGAATCGGCTCCTTTATGATCCTTTGCATTTTTTGCTTTCTGGGTTTCAATGGGAAAGGAAAAGGGGTGAAGGGTGAAAAAGGTGAACAAGGATAAACTCTCCACATACCCTTCACTGCCAGCAGGACCTTCTAAGTGTGTGGAGGAAATGCACGGAGAATGGTACACCTTTGACGAACTCAAGAAGCGCCATCCTGATTTACCTGAAGAACAGTTGCGCAAACTTTGCCACATTGGGTTGAATGGTAGTGCCTAAGCGTAACTAGAGTGATTACAGGAAGTTTGCTTTGAGACCAAAACAGGAGTAGTCTAGTGCTTGAGAGTTGGCGACCAGGAGTTTGGGCGGTGATCATCAGAAGACCAACTGAGCTGAACATCCGCGAGATTTGAATCTCCGAGTGGACGGAGATGAGCTTACAAAGCAAGGGGCAGTTGCTGAGTGGTCACCGAGGGAAAAGAACCGCATTTGCTTAGGAGCGTTGCCTCATAGAAGTTGCAGTTTGCCGAGCTCATACATCTCGTACAAAGTGTGTGACCTGTGCATCCACTTTGCCAGGGCTTGCATAGTTTCTGAACTTAAAAGAATTTGATTTGCCAAGGTCTCTTGTTCGGCCACCGTGAAGACTGCAAAGGCCATTGTTGCAGAGGCTGGCTCCGCAGTCTCAAGCAGCTTGAGTCGACTGGCCCGCCATTCTGAGCGGAACTCCGAGACGGCAGTTCATGCCACCTTAGGTGAGTTTGGGTTGTCCCTAGCTGTACCCACCACGGAAGTGCACCTGAAAGAAGGGAGTATACCGTGCATTTTGCCTTCGGATTGGTTTCGCTACATATTGATGCTTAGAGAACAAATGCTTACGCCTGTACTTTTTTGAACCGTTTCTGAGGTTTCTAAGGTTTGCCAAGTTGTGGACCCCTGCATTGCTCGTGAGCCCGCTGCCCAGGAACACCGGGAACTTTCACAGGCTTGCTGGCCTTGAGTTTGAGAACAGGGATGATGCTGGCAAGCAGTTGGAGCTCTTTTGGAACCGCTTTCAATGTTGCCATCCAGGGCACAGTATTTTCTCACTGGCAGACTGCCAGCAGGTGGACTTGAAAAGAACAGTCCCTCTCCTGATCCATGGGGACGAGGGGCGGGGAAAGAAACGGCAAGGAGTACTCATCCTGAACATGCAGTCGGCTTTAGGACTTGGATCACTCTCGAAGTCTGTGCAGAAACCAGGTGACCAAAAGCTAAACTACATCGGTTCCACATTCTGCACACGCTTTTTGTTGGGCATTTTGCCGAACTGTACGACATCGACCCGGGTGACTCGAAGGGTTATTGGACCCTCGTCAACCGATTGATTGATGACCTGCAAGATCTTGCCACCAAAGGTGTTGAAGGGCCGAACCATGTCAAATACTTTGGAGCCGTTCTGTTCATAAAGGGTGATTGGCCCTTTTTGGTCAAGATTGGCCGGCTCTGGAGGTCCTTCTTCAATGCTGAGAAAAGGGAGACCTCCAAAAAGCCATGCACTGGCATTTGCCATCTTTGTGATGCAGGGGTTCCTGGAGTACCGTGGGAAGATATTTCATTGAACGGTGAATGGCAATACACTGTTGGTACAACTGCACCGTGGACATCCGAACCTGAGATTTTGCGTTTAACGCATGACACGACCTTTCCTGCTTCCTTTCTGGTTCCGGATCCGTTCCACAATTGGCACCTTGGGGAAGGTCGTGGGTTCATTGCCAATTGTGTCAAGCTGATGCTACCGTTCTTCCCTGGAACCACTGTGGACTCACGGCTTGATGCAATGTTTCAGGATTACAAAACGTTCTGCAGATCAAACAGCTGCCAAGCTTACGCTTCCAAGTTCAATGTACAGCTGTTCAACTGTGCTGGGAATGAGTTCCCATCGGGATCATGGACAAAGGGGAACTTTACGACTAGTTTGATGAGGTGGGCATCTTCCTGGATGAGCTCTCACAAGAATTCGTTCCCAAAGGATTCCCTTCTGGAGAAAACTGTTTCTCAACGTTATTTCCGACAAGTGTAAATCATGTTATTGCATCCTTTCCTCTTGACAAGTGAGTTAGTTTGTTTATGTGTGTTTTCCAATTAATGCGTTTATGTTTGTGCTTTTCCTTCGTACTTCAGCCCCACAGTAAGGCTGACGCTGCAGAGTTGATCAACAAAGTCTTCACCAGTCTGTACAATGCACCTCTTTGGATTCCGGCTAGGCAAGCGAAAAGAATCGTTTCTGATTGGGAAGGGTTTCTAATCCTTCAGCAGGCATTGGTTGTGCAAGCGCACAACGAAGGACAGCTTCTCTTTTTGTGCAAGCCTAAGGCTCACATGATAATTCATACTGTAAAGACCATGATGTGGGAATGTGACATCTCCTCTCACGTGCTAAACCCGATGGCGTTTGGCACGCAACAAGATGAGGATGCTGTAGGAAAGGTATGCCGTCTAGTGCGGCGAGTATCTCCAAAATTAGCAGTGCAAAGGGGGTTCCAGAGATATCTGGTCAGCGCTTACGTAGCATGGAGCAGGGAAGGCATGTTTCGAAGGATCTAAGCTCCTGGCTTGGCAAGAAAAGTGCGCTCACGGCCGTCTTCTTTGGGCCAAGTGCCACAGCTTTGCAAGAGCACTACACAAGAGTGTCTCTGGAAGGTAAAAACAAGGTACCCCTGTTTTTTCAAGGTTCCCGAGGCAAGGGGTATATTTATACGCATACTGTATGTATATATTACATACCTAGACCTTCAAGGGGTGTTTAATGGAGATCTCTAAATGGTGTAGGGGCTCCCATTGGTGACCCCTTTCAAGATCTTGAAGGTGCTGTCTTATAAATAATATATACGTTTTAAGGAATCGGAAGTGGATCCGGTCGCATCGAACTGCTGGCGGGACCCACCTCCACTACTGCATCATAGCACACTGCCAACAAAGATGAAATGGCCCCAAGCTCCACCGTCCGACCCTGTAAGTCGTGTTTCAACTTGGCGTTTTCCAGAAGTAGCCACCGGAAGGCACTCACACCAGCCTCAGTTTTGCTCAAAGGATCAACATCAATGCTTCAACTGCAGGGGGGAGGGAGCCAAAACAGGTGGCAAACATCGTGCTGCGTGAGCAGCCAGCATCATGAGGTAAGTGATGAGGAGCACAATGTTAACATTGACCTCGGATGCAGGAAGCTGGGAACTCAAAACACTGCAACCAACAGAGATTAAGTTACCTGATAGAACCCTATTGGGGTACCTCTAGATAGTCTACAGTTCTTCAACCTCTGCTGGAAAGGGCTGGAATATTTACCTCGTTACAAGAGACGGGTCAATGTTATCTATATACTATCGTGCGATACACTATTCCGTGGCTGGAGAATCGCAGTTCGAGGGAACCAACGTTTCAGATCCAATGACGTTGCGCGTATTCAGCCCAGGCACGATGGGCCCAGCCTCGTCGGTCGGGTGCTGACGTTGCAATCGAGCCATCCAAAGGAGCTGCACCAAACCAATGAAGGTGCACAGGAGGAAGCACCAAACGCGTTTCACCAGCGCACCAAACAAGAACCGACCCGCAAAGCTAAAGGCCATCACAACCATCACATTCGCATACCTGCCACAAAACATGACGATCTTTTTGGCAGAAATCTCGCTGTCCATGCAGCTGTTTTTTCGTCGCCTTTTCTTCTCGACAAAAAACACGGTCGAGAGTTGTCCAAACACCTGAAGTGGGTATGGCATGGAACACCTGTTCTGTTTGCGTGTACTCCGACACCTCATCTTCAGGTGTACTCCAAAACTACCCACAAAATGACCCGACTTAATCCGACTTGACCAAATCTACTGCGACACTACTCGAACAACTATCTGGAAAAAATTGATCGTTCCAATGAATACCCAATTCGGACACGTTAAACCTGGTCTTTTGGGTTCATAGGGTCGGCCAATATGTCTTCGCGGATCACACGGCCACAAATCCAAGCGATTCCGGACAATCATTCCCATCTCCGGAAATTGATGGATAATTCAGGGCACATTCAGGCCGAAAATTGGGTTCATTGCGTATGCATACACATGGACACATGGACACATACCCTATAGGGCCCTAGCCTTCCAAATCTTCCAACCACCCTTGATTTGTATAAAAACACGAGCCTTTACCGAAGAGTCATTGCTTTACTAAGGAGTACAGCAGGAGGCCAACCAATTTATGGGAAAAATGGTCTTGGAACTACGTATATAGATCTTTCGTAATTAAATCATTACATATATAATGCAGTTGAAGCGCCCGCACAAACACACGCTTGGAGAAAATTGTTCCAAGGAACGATATTCAGGGTGCACTTTACTTTACTGCAAGGTATGTAAGCCTTGGTTGATGGAACGGCACGTTGAGTCAGAGAATTTGTATTGCCTAACATGGGTGAAGCATGGAGCAGCTTTAAAACAAAAAGGCAGTCACCAGCTGCGACTTACAAAGCGCCCAGGTGCCCCACTCAGCGGGTACGTTTTCCTGATCCTGGTGACGGGAGTTGACACACACACACACACTTAGAAATGGCTCATCCAATGCCATAATCCCCAGTGAAAGGAACGAGGGAACGGAAAGGTGGCTGAGTCCGCGCAAACAGAGTGTTTGAGTTTGAACAGCGGTGTTTTCGCTTGACTGCAGCATTTTAGTTACTGAATACTTAGCCGTCCCGAATTACGGCTGCGCATAGTGGGTTAAATTCCGTCTGGAAGCGAGACCAAAGGAATCGCTTTGGATAGGGAAGAAAATAGCTAGAAAAGGAAAAGAAGATTACAGTTTGTAGCTATAGGGGCGAGACTTGCGAATCGCCACATTAGATAAAGAACCGACGCACAAGTCCGCCGAGAACCATTTCCTTCTGTTGCCCCTATAGCAGCGCAGGTACGTGGAAACAGCATTCCATTTCCATATCCTCGGATACATCGCCAGCTTCGTTGCCCGGCGACGATGTATCCTGCCTGGCCCCCTGCTTGCTCAAAGAGTGCATGAAGGAGAAAACTCCTAGAAACGGAGGGACACACACACAAATTGCCGCTTTGCGGCGCTCATGTGCAGAGACCATGATTACTTGACTTGACTACTTTGCCCTTGACTGAAATAGGACAAAAAGCCTCTAGCAGAAAAACAAACCTTGAAAGAGAAACGAATAGGCAGGAGAGAAAGAACCAAAAACCCGAGGGGCGCGGAAACGAGCCTCAAGAGCCACCTAACAAGCCTGAAAGAATACCTGACAAACGATAAAGCGCAAGAGAGAAAGCGGGGGGGGAAAGGGGTGTGTGTACATGCGTGTAATAAGCCGTCGGCGTCAAAACCGTATGCCCGGCGGCGTCACGTCGGTTGATTCATGGGTGAAAAAACAGCGAGTCACACTGTCACACTTAGAAATGGTTCATCCAATGCCATAATCCCCAGTGAAAGGAACGAGGGAACGGAAAGGTGGCTGAGTCCGCGCAAACAGAATGTTTGAGTTTGAACAGCGGTGTTTTCGCTTGACTGCAGCAGTTTAGTTACTGAATACTTAGCGGTCCCGAATTACGGCTGCGCATGGTGGGTTAAATTCATCAAGCGAGAGCAATGGAAACGCTTCGGATGTGTAGAAAATAGCTAGAAAAGGAAAAGAAGATTCCAGTTTGTAGCTATAGGGGCGAGACTTGCGAATCGCCCCATTAGATAAAGAACCGACGCACAAGTCCACCGAGAACAATTTCCTTCTGTTGCCCTGTATAGCAGTGCAGGTACGTGGAAACAGCATTCCATTTCCATATCCTCGGATACATCGCCAGCTTCGTTGACCCGGCGACGATGTATCCTGCCTGCATGGTCCCCTGCTTGCTTAAAAAGTACATGAGAGAGAAAACTCCTAGAAACGGAGAGGGCCACACACACACACACACGCACGCACCACCAAGGAAAAGAACAGCAGCAAGTGGATGAAAGTTTCAGCAGAGTTGGACCCTTCAAACCCACCGCTCAACGACTGGATCTGTTTTTCGCTCGTAACCCTGGCAGGAACCTGGCAGGAATCAAGGCCACGTACCAAAGCAAGCAGGTTCCCACGTACCAGGCATCCAATGATTTGGGCGTAACGAGGCCAGGCTTGCTGTTCACCAGAAGCCCCACCAGTGCCTCGATGATCGGCCGAGGCTCCGACGCGACCAACGCTCGGAGTATAATACATTTCCGAGGTGTGCGCAGTGCGCAGGCACAATCATATATATATATATGTATATTAATTACATTTAGGTTGGCACTGGCCTATCTATATATATATATATTTATTTAGACATCCACCTGAAAATCCCAGGAGAATCTTGGCGAAGCAATTGGCTTTGCATTTTTCCGAACCCGAAAAGACCTGTAAGCCCAAGCTCGTCCGGCTTTGAGCGGCTTGTTGACCTCCCGGCTTCGAAGAACTTCCTCCACCCAGAAGTCACTCCCTGGCCCAGGACCCCCCTCCACCATGGCCCACCATGGCGCCATATAGAAAATGGCCAGGTCATACTCCTGACAGGCCAGATGGGCAGAGTTCACATATGTTCAAAAATGAAAAACTTTACTTCGAGTGATCCCCACCGACAGTTCAATCTGCGGGTCATGTCGCACAAAACCGAGAAGTGTACCAGAGTACATGAACAAGCCGAAACCGGCAACATGTGTTTGGCTCAAGTGAAAAGTCCGGCAGGTTTTTATGCCACGCGGGTTATGAGCCCAAACCTGCCTTGACCGCGTTTGCCTTTGCTGCGCCATGAGATCTACGCTGCCCGGAGAGCGGCCTCGAAATCTCGAACTGACTGCGAATGAACGGTTGGATGCCCTGAGGAGGAGCAGCGCAAGGCCCCGCAAAGCCTTGAACTGAGTACAAAGCTGACACCCTCCTTGCGGAGGACAAGTCATGTCTCGGCGACAGCCACTCCGGCGGCGGGCTCTTCCGGACCTCAAAGGCCACCGGCGACGCTATTTCAAGCATCTTGCTGTATACCTGTGTTGTGTCTTTCTTGTTGTGTTTTTGGTTTTGGATTGAAACTAGATAAGCTGATAAACTTATGACGTTGTTTTTGTTAGAATTTTGGAGCTATGCTGGGTCATATGTTTCTTGTGCACACAACTTAAACATATGGTTTGAAAAGGTAAACTTATGATTTGGGTTCTGTCTAAAACTTAAATTTTCCTTGCTCAACTTATTGTAAAAGAAAAACGTTGACTAAACATAATGTTGCTAAGTTTCAGGTACTGTGTAAGGGCCTTGTAAGTAGAGTAGATTGTATCAGCTGATAAATGTTGGTGCCGCGAAGCGCCAGTTGGAGGTGCTGCTTAAGTGCCGTGTAGGCGCACACACACACACACACACCTTCATGTTCCAAATTATGATTGTGTGCATGCGTGTGTGTTGATATCCATACCACCTGTCTCCTGCCGCAGCCGCAGCAGTGCAATGCGAGTGCGCCTTGGCAGCATCAGTTTTGCAGACAGAATCATGGGATCAAAGGTCAGGTGGTCTGCAAGACATGACAATCAAAGCATACTTACATCATAAAACAATCTGACTAGATATGGTCCTGTAAAGTGCCATTCTGGCGCTGTACAAGTGCCATGTAATGATTTGATAGAAGCTATCTTAGGTAGTCTGCAAAACATGACAATCAAAGCACACGTACTGGGAAAAAAGACAATCTGACTAGATATGGTGCTGTAAAGTGCCATTCTGGCGCTGTATAAGTGCAATGTAATGTTGTTGAAACTCTGTGGGGTATCTCTAAAATGAAAGTATTGCTGTATATAGTAGCAAGGTCAAAGAAGGTGCTGCAAAAGTGCCTTGCCTGGCGCTGAGCAAGCGCCAACTCTTTTTGTGGAGCAAAAACCCGACCTGCTTGAAGACCTCCAACTTGACCAGCAAGAGCCTTGGTAGCAAAGCGGCCGATGTCGAAAGTGGAATGAAAATGAATGTTCAGCGCCTGTCCAGCACTTTTTCAAGATGTTGCAAAGCAGGCACTTGTTCAGCACTCTTGCAGAATTGAAATTCTAAAGCAATGCCACAGTTCAAGCGCACAGGGCTTTTTTCACCTGGCCAATATATAGCACCGAGTCATTGCGATTCCTCTCTCTTCCTTTTGATTCCTTTTCTCTCCTCTTGTTGCTGCTCCACCATCTGGTGTTTGTCCATGAGGCGTAGCTGTTCATTCTGGTCCTGTTTGTGCTTTGCAGCCAACTCTTCTTGCAAAGCTTCCTGCTGCCCAATCTGCTGCTGGATTCACTTGTTCAGCACTTTTGCTTGGAGTTGCACTGTTTCAGCGTTGAGATTTATGCAAAGCAAATCAACAGCACTATGACACACTCCACTTTCTCACCACTCCTAGAAGGTCTTCTCGCTCCTGGTGGTGCCTCTCCAAACTCTGTGATGCTTGTTCGTTGGCTTGCGGCTTGTGCCCCTCGATCTCTGCAGACTGATCACATACAGCCATGCGCCTAGTGACCTCCGAATGACCCAGAGCCGGTGGCTGAGGTGGATGTTGTGCCAATGAAGCCTCACCCCAAATCTCCAGGTTGTATTGGTGTCGTAATGGTGGCAGCACTGGATAGACAGCCTCTGGCTGCACAGTGGGTTGTGGGAGCGTTGGCTTGGGCCAAGGTTTTGGTGTTGGCGGCTTCTTCTTTGGCAGCTGTTTCTTTGCCCGCGGGGTCGGGACATGGCAGCGCTATCAGTCTGAGATGGTCTGACCAAGTTTTTGCATTCTGTTTCTGCTTTTTACTCTTCTCTTGTTTTTGCCCGCTGGATTCATAGATTCTTAGTGTCTCTCTCTCTCTCATTCCTTTTAAGAGTAACTCTAATTATGTATACTTTTTGAGCCACTGGGCTTCAATGGAGCGCATGCAGTTTCCATAGTTTTGCAATGAAACAAGAAAAACTCTCGAGAAAGGAGCTCCATGAAACAAACCAGGAGACAATTACATCGTACAGAAACAATCAGCCAGTCAGCAATAACAATTAAGTCAATGCTGAAATGTAAACATAAACACTTGGCCAGTGAGGGTTCTATAGTCATTCATCCCTCATTGCCCGATGCTGCAATGTCGGAGTTGGAGCTGCCGGAGCCGAGTGGGCGACCTGTCTCGTTGACACCTGCAAAATCAGCAGCAGTGCCTCCGAAAGTGCCTCCAGTGCCTGGGCCTGTTCCAAAGGAGGTGGCCAAAGCACGACCAGCCTCCAAAGCCCGACCGATTCAGCCTACACCAAACGGGAAGGCGGTGGAAAGCAAGTCGGACCGGCCAAAAGCAGCGCTGACTACTTCAAAAGCGCCCCCTGAGATGCTTGTTTGTGGTTTGTATGTTTGTGGCGGCGTGTTTGTGATGGTGTGTTTGTGTTTGTGCTTGTGTGGTGATGTTATGTTTTTTTGCTTTGTTTGCGGTTGTGTTGTGGTTGTGTGATTGTGCTTGTGTGTTTGATGTTGCGTGCTTGTGGTTGTGTTTGTGATTGTGTTTGTGTTTTATGTTTGGGCGGTGTGTTCGTGATGGTGTGTTTGTGTTTGTGTTGTGGTTGTGTGTGTTTTGCTTTGTTTGTGGTTGTGTTGTGGTTGTGTGGCTGTGCTTGTGTGTTTGTGGTTGCGTGCTTGTGGTTGTGTGTTTGATTGTGTTTGTGGCTGTGTTTGTGGTTGTGTGTTTGTGTTTGTGGTGGTTCTGTGATGGTGTGCCGTGGTTGTGTTTTGTTGGTTGTGTCTTGTTGGTTGTGTGTTTGTGGTTATGTTGTGTGTTGTGTGTTGAGGTCCGGTAGCACCCACTGCGATCTCGCACTTGCAGTTGAGGTCCGGCAGTGCCCACTGCGATCTGGCACTTGCTGTTGAGGTGGGGAAAAACACAACAAGGCTCAGTAAGGAGTTACCTGTAACACTGTAACCCCAACGAAGATCATGGTTGGAAGGAATTGGACCAAGCATTGGACGCCCGGAGTTGGACCCGAACCCAGCGTGAGAAGGTACTTGCAGCCCATGGGTATCGTGGCTGGTTCAAACATGTTCCAACAACAGATCCTTTCGGGTCACACCGAGGAATGTGCGAAGCTTCCAGCTTCCAGCTTGACTTCCGTGCGACTTGCTTTTCCGTTTCCGTTTCGCACGGAGCGGCAATGTGGATGTTCTAAACCTATGCAAGGTGTGTCAAAGCCAACATTTGGTTGGCTCGTCCGTCTGAACTCAGTTCATCCCTTTCACCTGGCACCTGCCCCTTTCACCTGGCGCTCCGCCCCCAGTTCCGCCCAGTTGGCCAGCGAGTCTCTGGCATAACGCGCGGCAATCCCTGCAGTCCCCGAACTTGCGCGGCGATGATCCGTAGCAGCCCAATGGCCAAATACCTCAAAAAACAAACCGAATGGATCCTTTCCCAACGAGTAAAAAACCTAATTTTACTGAAGTTGGTCATGCAAACAAACTATTCAAGAAGGACAAGTGACAAGGACAAGGTTTTACTGGGTCTTTGGACTTGGGACACTTCAGATGCAAACCGCTTCTGTTCTGAGAAGGTAGGATCAATGGAGTGAACTGCTCGGGTTCCTTTTGGACACAAAGCCTGAACCTGCCGATGATCTGGGCAAGCTTTCCTCACCCAAAAAACTGAAACACCTGAAATCTGGCTGAATCTACATGAGAAAGAACTTGTATATATATATATATGTTATATGTATATACAAACCCCCGCGAGAGCACCAAAAACTAGAGTATACCCACAACGCAGTCAGAAACCCATTTGGATAACAACAAGTCTCCTCCACTGCATTCCAGTCTGCCCTCATTCTCATGACTACTTCAGAAGGGGTTGGGAGAGTCACAGCTTCCCAAAAAGGATGCACCTTCTCTAAGAGACTGGGCGACTCACTGACCTAGATTTGGGAGACTCACCAGTTTTAAAAGCTCAGAACTTGAGCCTGCCAGGCTCAAGGCTCAAGAAGAAAGCGCGCCCGTATGTGTACAGCACTGAGGCCTTGGGGCAAGGCCCTGGGGGGTTGGCCACAGTCTATGCCGATATAGCCCCTGAAGAAATAACAAAGAACCCACTACCTGGAGCATGGCACTGGAAGTGCCTGGCACTGTGCGTGCCCTGGAGATACTCGAAATCCGATAATACCAAACGGGGGGTGTTTCGTCTACATGGACCATCATTATTGGCGGGTTTAGCTGAAAAAAAACGTGAGCTTTCCAGGCCACAAGTTCCACAAGCGCCGCGTCATCCTGCAACGCCACAGGTCCAGTTGTTCGGCAGCTTGAGGATCCAGCTGCTCTCTCCACCAAGACCACCACTCTTGGCACTTAGCCTGGAAAAAAACGACGAAATGACCACCCGAAACGACCCTCCGGTCACCGGTGACTGGTCAGTCTGGTCACCGGTGACCGGTTCTCCCCAGACATGGGGAGCCCCCGTTGGATGGTCGATCTACCCTGCCCAATCTCCGAGATCGGGCTGCTTTGGAAGCCGCAAAGAGGGCTCTTGGGCAACCCCAAATCGCAAAGCCGATGGACCTATGGATACACATACCCTCTTTTGGAGGGTGGTTGGTCCAGTCGTACCTTCTGAGAAGGATTGAGACGGTCTGTGGATCTTGATAATCTAAGTTTGTGGTATTTTAGAATCCCTACTAAAGCGTCTATTGGGTGCCATGGCCACCACACAAGTCATACAACGTCATACCAAACGCCACATGTCGCCTGCAGTAGCGATTGCGCTGAAAACAGCCCATGGGACTTGAGATAGAGCATCACCACGAAGATGAGCCTTGCCGGGTTAAAATGGGGAGATTCAGGAGTGTTCATCCTCTGATTTCTCTGGGCTGGAGCCTGGATTTTCTGCGGGAACATGACAAAAGAAAAGGGTCTCTCTCAAAGGCGATTCGCCAAAAAGGGGGGAGTCAAACAGTCAAACATCGCTCTGCGCCAAGACGAGCCAAACGCGGAGCCCGGTCGAACTAGAGAGCCCTGGCCACGAACGCAAAACCCAAACGCGAACATGAACGTGGAGCTGCGTGGTTGATCTGACCAATTCCTTTTTCGCATTGGCCCCATCTGCTGTCAAATGAACCTAGCTTTGGAAGCCCCCATGTTGTTGTGGACATATAATCTTTCATATTATCTGTAAAATTATTCAAAAATCGTTACAGTGGCAGCATTGCAAAACCTGTCGACCACTTTGAATCTGGCCTTGAACATGGCCGAATACAAACATGGGCCAGTTTAGTCATGGGCAACTACATACAGTTTTTTTTTGACAAATCCTCCGGAATTTAATCGCACCCAAGTTTATAGTTTGGAAAGCTAAAGTCCTGGCCTCACAAGGCACAGCGCTTCAATAGTGATGGCACCCACACGGAAGACCGCATCCCGGTCCAGGGCTTCGAGGGCTTCCAGGACGTCCATTGTTTCGCGAGGATCCGGCGGGGAAGGAGTCGTCCCGTGTGAGACCCGTGTGGAGTGCGAAGTGGCAAGTTGCAAAAGAAATGGTAATTCGGATTGGGTCTCACCAATTGGGAAAATCAACATAACCTATATAGTCCTAATAAGCAAAAATAAAGAATTGTGTTAACCAGGGGCCAAAAATTGAAAACGACCCCCTCTAGAAGGCCTGTGTTGGCACCCATGTGCTGGGTGAAACTCATTTTGTGGGCTGAGTCGCAAGCGCATAGGGGGCTACAAAGGGTCTAAGAATACATCGCATTGGATGGTGCGGTGCAGAATGGCTTGAAGCGTCCTGAAGCTGAGAGCCAACAAACTTAGCCGGCGGTGGGCTTTGATGTGTGGATGCCTCTCTCATGGCCCTTTGTCGCTCCAACAATTGATGATGGGGTAAATCTCCCTCACGACGACTGCATGAAGACAACTTAACTACTTAAACATATTTTAGCATAGTCATAATCATCTCTCTGCTTCGGGGATATCTTGGACAGCCCAGTGGTCAAACTGATAAACGTTGCGACTAAAACCCTGCAGCTATCTGCAGTGATGGTCATAGTCCAAAATTAGCACTACCCAGTTAAGAGACACTCATGTCGGATGCCGGATAAATTGCCGCCTTCTGAATCCACTACTGCTGCACTATATGCAAACATAGGTAAGTTCGGGATGGTTTTCTATGAGGTACCCGCCCACTGGAATCAACACCAACCCTGCCCCTCACTAGAGCCTCGCCACATTTACACACGCATGTTCACCCTTCCCCAATGGCACAAAGCCACGCAAACGCACTTTTCACCGAAGCCGTGCAAAACCGCATGCCACAGCGACATCACATGTTGAAATCTTTACAAGCGAAGAATATCGAAGAATCACTATATATAGTTGTATAAAGGGGCTTCTAAAAGGGGAAAGGGAAAAAGACCCTTGATCTAGAGGTGTTTTAGCACTAAATAACGGATTGTATAATGTATATTGTAAAACGTTCCTAGGCAAACTTTCTATTGTGAAGCTCTTCTCAGGTTCCATCTTTGCGGGTCCCCCCATTTTGGGGACCCCCTATTGACAAAAACGACACCGGACGTTTTCTATTGTGGAGGGGGGGTGACTGGGGGGTGATTTTTCAACACTATGTGGAAGGGATCAGTTGTTATACGTATCAGCGTATCCACACCTTTTTGGGCTCTAAGTTTTGTAATACACAAGGTATTTGGTACGGCATTGAGGGCTCTGAATCTAAATACCGCCTTTTTAGATTTGTTCAGTAGCTTTGCCTTCTCTCTTTTCACATGGGTACACCATGTAAGCTCAGTCAAATCAGTGGTGTCCTGAGTCAGATCAATGCTTTACTTCACCCAGACGAATGAGTGAATGTATCTTGACGGCATTTGACTCCTAAGGTCCTGAAAAGGCACAAACAAGTTTGCAGCATGCTCTGTGGTGTCCTCATTAACTACCTGGCCTAGGTTCAGCCGCCCGGTGCCAAGCAGCTATCGAACCTGCATAATGGACTATAGATAGTCTAAATATTAAATCTAGAATCTATATAAATGTTTTTGCCCAGATCGTCAGAACGAACTGTCTTCAGAGTGAGAATGACACTGTTGCTCCGAATCTGTGCCCTGCCATCACACCACAGAAAGATGAGAAAAAAGCTGCTGCTCGTGCTCATTGAGAGCTGTTCAGGGATGCACGGGGCTGGCAACATATATATTGACCGATTATGGGAATCAAAACCCCTCAAAAACCCTGGAAAATCAATCTGTTCATATGCATATTACATATATTACTGCAGTGGGGGAAATGAATCCCCGAAAGAAACACATAAGGAAAAAAACACAAATAAAAACTAAAAGTTTAACCACTCACTGGGTATAGGGAATATTTTGCTTGCAAAGAGGCTGAGATGTTTCACCTCACCAAAACCATGCCAAGACCATGCAGGTGTACGAGTACAGCCTTGATTGAACCGCATTCAGACAGATGTGCAATGGAAAAACAACCTTCCAAAGGATTGGCATCGACTCAGCGAGGGCTTTACTCATCCTGAACTCCCCGAGCACTGACTCAGTCAAAGCTCTTCGGGTCATGAGTCATGTGGGGAAGAAGTCCAAACCCGACTACTGAAAGCAGTTTGTCCCCAAGCCCCTCTCAAGGTGAAGGATTTCAATGGACCAAAAACATCCAAAAACCATAGAAAAAAACCTAAGGCCCTTCGGGGGGGACTGAAACCATGGTGCCTCATCGTCCTTCTGAAACCACATGGATAGGACGAAAACCCATTTCCCGTTGGCGAAAACCGTATCCGACCCTTCGGAGATCGGCCCGAAGGGTCGGGAACGTCCGGTTTGGCCGTGCCGAGTGCTGGACCGGTGGTTCCTTACGCGGCCACGCCATCCACCCCCACGCCAGTTCCGAGTATATCCATGCTTGTATACCTCTTTTTGGGCTGCATTCATCCACCCAATTCCATCGTAACAGGCCGTCGACCGAAGGGTCTTGAAGGGTGCGGCGGTGCGATCGGCTGCATCGGTACCATTGGAACCAGGGGACCTTTTGAATCCTCTTGATGGAGAATGTATCCGGCATGGAAACACCCTTTGGTGGTGCAGCATCTGCTCCGCCCCTCGCCCCTGTTTGTTCAGCATGCTGTGCGTGGCTCAGCTCCAGTGATCTAAATTTGCACGCTGGATTCGCCAACCTGCCTTGCAAATTGGGGAAAACATGGCTCTGCCTTGGGCAGACTAAAAAGAAACACGTTGCTTCCACACTTGTGAGATTGCCGTGGCAGGTGCCGGGCAGGCCATGTCTGCTGACTAGGCTCCGCATGAAAACAAGCCGAGATTTGGTGGACTGTGCTTGATAAGAATGATCCAAAACGATCGAGCTGGGTGACTGTGGGATTCCGGGATGGCAACTGGACTTCGTCCACGTCACAATCCCAATTTGCTCGGGTGTAGCTCACTGATCAACCCGCTCGCGTGTGAAAGGGCTGCAAGCCGCGCTGACCCAAGTCGGCTGCCCCTGCTGCCACGGCTGCTGGTCGGGCTGAAGGTCTTGGTAACGTTTGGGCTGCTCACCTGCAAGTAGCCAACTGATGTCTCTTTGAGATGGTGAAGATCACAGTGACTGGAATGACTCTTCCCCTGGTGGGTTCGGACACTAAAGGTCAAACATAGACCGACATGCCTGGTTTTCAGGTCACTTTTCAGGTCCGGGGAGGAGCAAAGTTAGGTCATTTTCTGAAGAAGCAGTCATTTCCTCCATGCACTTCTGGAGGTTTTCCGTCTCAGAATCCCGTCTCATTCTGAGCGAAAACCCGGAAACGGGTTTTAGCACGCCATATGAACACCTACAGGTCCAGTCTGGCCCAGGTCCACACCTGATCCGGAAAGTTCATTGAATAGTGTATGTGCGTCTTATCGATGACCCACTCCAGTCAAATGAGGTCAAACTGACCAGTAGCAAAGAAAATCACACCTGGTTGCATTTTACTTGGAAGAGGCGGACTGGGATGTCCTATTTTGATCTATTTTAGCACACACCCACCTGAACAACAGCCCTGGAGCTCTGGAGTCCAGACGCTGCGCCCTCCCTGCTTTCTTCATCGCCCTGCCCCTGCCTCGCCACAGCGACCGAAACAGACGCTGGGCCCTCTCCTCCTCCCGCTTGCAGACGCGACCGGCCCTGTCCCTCCCCCTTTCTCCGCCCTTCTCCCACTCCACACCAATGACCAGACCTGACCCCGTCCCTGCCTCCTCCCCTCATACACGCGGCGACCGAACCAGACGCCGCGTCCCCCATGCTCGCTTTCCTCCTCGACCTGCCCTGCCTCTCCCCAGCGACCGAAACAGACGCTGGGACTATCCCCTCGTCCTTTCCAATCTGTCACTGAAGTGTCAGTTGATCCAAGACCAAATCCGTGTCAGTTGGTGCACAAAATCGCCATCACCTCCTCAGACCGGGAACCGAACCAACAAACCTTTGCGGAACGCTAAGGTATGTGTCTCGGAACCTCGGAACCCGTGGTCCAGAAAGAGTGAAGCTGGTATGTTGCAGGACCACCTCTGGTTTCAACCTGCTTCAACCATATATATATATATATATCCATATATATAATATATATTCATATCAAATCCAGATTCAGCCAAGTATGACCAGTGTTCTATACGCAAATAAGACGCTTGCACCATGGGAGTCAAACACTATAAAAATAATGGTCTTAGAAGGTGACACGAAAAGGCATGTCCTTGGACTTCAGTCAGTCAAAATCTACCACCTTCATGTCGGGGCCACCGATTCAGTCAGCCCCAGCCCACCACATCCGCAACCTCACAGGACACCCCGAAAGTTGAAGGTCCAGGTGGACTTCGGTGCATTGGTCTCCAGGACCCTCTGTCCAAAGCGTCGACCTTGAAACGGCACCGCACGAAACGCGAACGCTAGCCGCTCACGATCCCCGCGGCAACGAAGGATCATGAGGCACCTGAAGGTTCACAATGCCCACGGTCGTCTCAAGTAATGGATCATACCTGGAGGTGTGGGAGGACATGAGTCCGTAGCTCCTGAGGGGAGGGGACAGGGGGTGTTCCGTGTGGGTGTTCCGAAGGTGTGGATCAGTGGATGCCTTCTTGAGGTACAATCGAAACCACCTTCAAGCACAGCCGAAGCCTGGGAAGTCCACTGGGAAGATTGGATTTCTTCAGTTTTGCCACCATAGCCGAAGCCTGAGCTGACAGACCTGATCCATGCAGAATGCCCTCAGAGTAGATGGCACAACCCCCACTCCCACAAGGTCGTTTTTATGGACCCCCATCTAAAAGACATGTCGGGGTTTGTGCCATCATCTACTCTGAAACTTCTGTAGGTACTGAGGTCTGGGATGTCTTGTCGTCCCAGCACGAGATGGTAGGAGCCACAGGAGCCGCTGACCATTCCGGCAAACACCCGAAACATGAAACTCCCTACCATGCTCTCGTGGACGTGTGTTCAGGATCCAGTATAATACGACACGATTTTGGGGTGAAGAGCCGATGTTCAGAGAGGGTCAGGAGAGACCTCCTGGCAGAGATGTCTAATGGTAGCTTGGCCCAGCTGGTTCACCTATCCGACCTCTCGCAAAGGGGACCTAGGACCCCCCTTCAATGACGCGACTTCCTTCCCCTCCTCTTCCGTCGGCCCAACCGACGACCGTATCGCCCATCGCCCGGGTGGCCAAGAGCGAATCCGTCACTGCAACCGAGCGAACTCGCAGGGTGACGTGTGTGAAAATTGCCGGGGGATTGGTGATTTCAAATGGTCTTCCGAACTCGCGGGGGTCTATTTGCCCACTTCCATGTGAGTTCCAGTTTTTATCAGTAGATCCTTTGATCCTTCTACAACGTTTTTTTCTTGGCTCGGTCAAGACCATTGGTGGTTGGATTCCTACATATGGGAAGGGGGTTCATCCGAAACCTTCACACCTTCGCTCGCATTCGGCGCGAGCGAACTCGGTGCCATCGCGGGACTCAGTGAGAAAGGAAGTAATCACTTCGCCCATCCCCAGTAGGTCCAAGGTAAAGGTCCTTGGAGAACTAACCATGTCAGCTGGAAACGAAAACACCATGTCATGTCTTTTGTAGATTTGCGAATTCTGTAGAAAGGGATGTGCCAGGATGTGCCCCCAAAAAGCACATTAAAAACATAAACACATCATCCAAAAGCAGCAAAAACCAAAGTGTCTGTTCCTGCCTTTCTTCACTTTCCGGCAGGTTCAAGGACCTGTTTGCCAGAAGCTGCAACTGATCACAAAAGCCATAGCGAGATGATGCACTGGAGATGTCCACGATACTCTCTGGAGTCTTGTCCAGACAGCTCTGGCAAAGCTTTCTAAATCTTCGCTCAGCACGAGAATGTCAAAACTCGGGATGTCAAAGACCACCCAAAAGGCACCACGTGCACCGATGGCGGGGCACGAGGCCACACTGGGCGATGCAGGTGAGATCGGCTCCGCGGTCTCGCCACCCTGGATCTCCCGCACTCCGACCAGGAAGGATGTCTTGTTGGCGAGATTCTGGAATTGAGCATGGAACAGTTCAACTTTCACATGATTCTGATCCGAATCCAGCATATCTGCATTGAGGCCCATGACTGCGGTACTTTCGGAAGCTATGGAGGATTGAAACTGCTCGGAGATGCGCGTGTGGTCCTCCTTGGCAAAAAAGTCGAGCAAAGACCTCCCTGCCAACCCCTTGCCGCTCGGCACGCTATGTAGTAACATGTTTGAGAGCTGTCGGGAATCATCCGTCAAACTCAAGCTGTCGTCCACCTCCACCTCACTTGGCCAGGGAACCTAGGAAATAAAGCTAAAAAGTCAATCAGGGTGGCTCTCTCCCTTCCTCTCAGTGACTGGAAACTACCTAGACCATCCAAAGGGTGTCCAATGGGGATCTCCAGGTAGTGTAAGGTAGTCTATTGTTCACCCCTTGGATGGTCCTGGTCCCTGGTATTCAAAAGGTTATGTTGGGTCAAGACTTTGGCCGATGAAGCCACCACAGCATCGTAGCAAACGCTCAGCAAGGACGAGACCGCGCCGAGTTCCACAGTCCGACCCTTCAAATCCAGAATCAACTTGGCATTGTCCTGCAACATCCTTCGGGCCACGAACACTGCAATAAACATCACCTTAGCAAGACATAAAACACCGTCGTTTCTCCAGGTTGAATTTATGCAGTAAGACCCGCCGACATATCCATTGTAGGACACCCCAGGGTTCAGCATAGATAGTATCCGATTATGTGGTTATTAATATTATAAGTAATCAATATGATCAATGATTACCCCATCAATTGCATGTATAGGATTGTATAGGTTTGCTATCTTTTGCTTTTCAGGGGAGTCTGAATGCTTGGCACTTTGGGGGGCTTGAGGAACAAACACAAGCCACGTCACAAAGTAGACAGCCAAAATGACCTCAACCGATGAAACTTTGATGACTCCTGCCTCCGTGATCACCTTGGATTTGCTTCTTGGGAACATGGAAAAAGCCCTTATCAAACAAAATCCCTTTCCTAATCACAGAGTTTGGGAAACTCAAAAACATCACTGGCCACAAACGCAGGATCACGGTCATCACATTTTGCTCTTGCAGCGTCCCCATCCTGAGCGTCTGTATGAGAAGCGCCAGGTGGCACAGCGCAAAGCACCACCAGCGCTTGGCCAGCATGCCAAAAACAAAGCGCCCGGGAAAGACCACGACCATGAAATCCTTGGACTGGAAGCTGAATGACCTCTAATATTTTGGACCACCAACCACACAAAATATGGTCTTTTCCTATCAAAATTAAAACAAAGGTCAAGTGAGTTCCAGGGGCCCAGATGTTCTTGGTCCAAAGACGAAGTCCCGAAGTCTGGCAATTTCAATATCTATATAGAACCCAAAGACCACCATTTGTGAATTTAATATGTTATTTTATTCATGTGTGAATATATTAATGTCAACATAGGATTGATGAACCCCCCCATATTAATCAATCCCAGCTCGAGCCCCCAATACTAAACTAATTTAAACTCTAGATTTCCAGATTGGCATCACCCTAAAAAGAACTATTCCTGTCCAGACCGCCCCCCATATTAATCAATCCCAGCTGCCCCAGAAAACATAGTTTACTATTGTATGTATATTCTTTATTATGTTGTTTGGCTAGTATTCAACATCTTCATCTCCTCATCCTCCTGATTCTCACCACCTCTCAACTGCCTCATCCTGCTCACCAATCCTTTTGATGGCTTCTCCTCAGGTCTCATGCTACAACCCATCCCCAAAAACCCAACAAATTCTCTAGCAAAAGTATTTCATTTCCCTTATTCAAACTCTATCAAAATTGTAACGTTTTCAAGCTCACAAAGGGTACCCCTCACACAGGCTCTACCCCCCCAATAGTAGGACCACCTCCCCCTATTAATCAATCCCAGCTGCCCAGAAAAAACATATAGTTTACTATTGATTTATAAATTTAATATTAGTTTATTTGTTGCTAGTATTCAATATCTTAACCTCCTCATCTTCCTGATTCTCACCACCACCTCTCAATCCTGCTCACCAATCCTTTTGATGGCTTCTCATGGCACAGAATCCCATCAACCATCATCAGGTGATCACCTTTATTAGGGGGATGTGGTCCTCAGATATCTCCAATCTCAGACCTTGTTCATCTTGTTGACCTTGAAGGGGAGCGGGGGGCCCGTTGATTAATCCGACGTCGACATTATATATATATATATATGTATATATATATATATCTATTTATAAGATTTGAGCATATATGAAAACGCTGTATATGTACGGGTTACAAAGTGATCATTGATACGGCCTGTCCGCCCTCTCATCTGCCTGTTTCCGCAGAGCTGCCCTGACATCCACGCGACTCGCAGGGAGCAGCGTCAAGGTCCAAATCAACGAGCTGCCCACGTACCAGGCATCCAAAGTTCTGGGAGAGATGAGGCCCGGCTTGAAGTTCAGCACGAGCCCTACGGAGCCCAAGAAGAAGAATGCGAGGTCAAACTGTGGGGCCTAGTGCCATGTGAGGGGCCGCACCAGGTGTGGCCGATGGGCCCGACTGGCCATGTGAGGCTGGGGCCAAGTGACAGGGTCAAGTGACTGCAATGCTACTAGCTTGCTTCTAGAAGTGACAGGGTGGGGGCCTAAGATCGAAACGGTGGGCAGAGGTTTGGCTGTGGATGGTGATGATGTTCAACACCCTACACAAGGCACTGAATTCCTGGCAAGGAGCAGGGCGGCTGGAGCCGAACAAGTCCAAAAGTTGCCCATTCACCAGGCGCACCGTGCAAATCGCCAGAGCCAAATCCCAGACTCGCTTCGTCATCCGACAACGCAAGCCGTCGAGCTCCTCAATTTAGGTTGAATGGTCCAACGGCATCTCGTGCTTTCCCCAAAGAAGTCCGCGTTTCTATTTATGCAACTAACGCTACTAGGGGCTCCTGGCATCGCTACTAGGAGCATTCTCACTACTAGTAACAAGAAGCTACTAGGGACTCCTGGCCTTAGCTTCGCAGCTCGGTAGATGTTGCCTGTTTTTCTAGGGGCCGCGTCACTGACGATCAATGCTTTTTCACCATCTCTATCTGTGAATCCAGCATATGCCCAGGGGTAGCTGTAGGTGATCAAAAAGGATGTCAGTCCCGGACAGTGGTTCCCCTCTTGGACAGCGGTCTTGGAAGGCCGGGGTTCCTCTTTTAGCGGTCTTGGAAGGCCGATGCTTTGTATCTATACCTGCAACCGAGGATGGTTGCCCTTTTTGGGGGGTTGGTAGTTCAACATACCTGTATTTAGGTCTGTGAACCACATAAAAATCCGCTTAACCACGTTTGGGCAAAAACGCCTGTGGTTCACCAATAAACGCCCTTAGCTTGTGTATAATTGCCCGTGGAATATCAGAAAACTAGAGAATACTAGAGAAACATCCGCAGACTCAAATATAAGGTTGTGACTCCAAAAGATGGTTTTCATGCCGCAGATCGAACAAAAGCACTCTGAGGAAGTTCCAGGTATGGTTCTGATGTTCAAGAAGGCTGAAATATAGAAATCAATCTTTTATTAATTGTTATTATATATACATAATATATGCTTGTTAAGTGGGCCTTGCCTCGAAATTTACAGCCAAAAACATGTGGACATCACCGCAAGACTGGTCCGGCTGTTTCAAGGGCCTCAAACATTGAATCTTTGGATCACCGATAGATCGAAATCCTTCGACCAAGTCTCCTCTGAAGTCGGCTGGTCAATCCTCAGGTGCACTGAGAACTCACAAACGATGCTATGGGACTGGCCCTGGGACTGGCATATGTGCCGATCAGTTGGAAGAATAGTAGGGTGGCCAATGATGACAGGCATGTCCACCTTCTGAGAAGGTCTTGGGCTAGCCCAAATCGAGACGTTCGCTCACCAAGTTTCTGATGCAACAGCTGCTTCCACCACTTCCAAGGCGTACACCGCAGAATAGGCCACGAAGCAAAAGAAGTCCGGCACCCGGCACGCATCGCGCAAAGAAGCCTCAGGAGAAGAGCGATTTCAAAGATCAAAACGCCAAGGTTGTAGTTGATCAGAGGGCCCATGGCGAACACAACTCCGCTGGAGCCGCCGATGAACCCTTTTGCGTTGCGTTACTTCGTGTTCGAAGCATCTGTGACAGAAGGTTCGTCACGGACGAAAATGGAGAATCCTGGGAGATTCAGTGGTTTGCTTTGGGACGGTGTGTGATGTTGACGCCCTCCAGTCAACGGTGCACAGACTAGCCGACTAGCCGACGAGCCAGAAGCCGTGGAAAAGCTGGCCGTGTGCAAAGAACTTAGTAAACATCAAGCCTTCTCATGGAAATACATCTCTGCCGTGCCACTTTAAAGGACACCTCAGTCTTCTTCAGAAGTGAGGTGAGAAAGTACAAACTCTTATCATCTCTCATCTTCTACCTTTCCAATCGCTTACTTTTCGATCAAGCGGAAACTAAGCTTACTCATGAGCAGTGGGTTGGCTTGCTTAGCATGTGGACACGTCTCTCGTGTTCGACCCATGTTTGACCTGCTTTTTCGGCTGCCAAGGTCGGGATAGTCGGAACATCCGGCCTTGGAGAATCTGCCTTAGGGCAAACTCCCAGATCACACCAGGTCCCACGATGCGGTGATGCGATCTCAAGTCGTGCAAAGACATTCAAAACACACATTCTGCATATAGGACCCTCCAAGGGGTGCCCTGTCTGGAAGCCTAGGCCGGTAGTGTGGGGTAGTCCAGCCAGGACACCCCGACAGGAGGGTCCTCGCATATAGGATCTTAAAACCCAAGATTCTGGGATTCCAAGTCCCAGCGTGTCCCAGCGTCCCCGAATCGCACGCCCATGGCCCATGTGGCCAATCTTCAAGCAGCACAAACACAGAAACATGACCTGTTTCTCTGGAAGGTAAATGCTAACCATGTTCCGCCTAGACCTATTCTTGTTTTAGTGCAAGAGGTTACCTTCAGGTGATCCACTTTTTTCTTGGGCACTTTGGCCATCAGCGGCGCCTCACAATTCCAGCTTCGTCTCGTGCAGCTTGCTGATCAAGCCGCTGACAGTGCGTTGCTCACATCTCGCTTTGCGCGGGCGCTCCGCGCTGCCGCTGCTGGCACGGCTGCCACGACTGCTGGTGCGGCTCATCATGCTCTTGTTGGGCACGTTCTTGAGTGGCTGGGCGCTCACCTTCCGATTCAAAAAGCACAAGGGAACGCTTCAAACGGCCAGGTCTACGCCAGGGGCGGCACCATAGGTCCCAGGTGAAGCCCCGCAATGCCAGCAGGCGGTACTTCTAGGATCTTCTTTCGGGAATTCTGGGGACCCCAGAGGTGCGATGCAGGTTGCTGCACCAGCTTTGCCAGAACTACTTTGACAAGGGGAGCTGTTTTTGATGTTTTCCGGACCAAAGCCGCCGAACCTGCGTTTTGATCCACGCTGTCACTACAGCAGAACCACTTATGCGACAATTCCTATCCACCTTGTGCCTGAAATCAAGTGCCATCCTTCTGATTTGCCTCCTAACTATAGACACTCCATGTATGCCATATATGCCTACATTGGCCTCCAAAACCACCCCAATGTAGGCATATATGGCAGATAGTTGTCAGATCTCGTGTATCTCAAATCTTTCAGAAAAAAGGCGTGGCTTTCGACCAGACTCCGGACCTCGGAGAGGATCTTCACGGTGCCCACCATCGTGTCTAAGAGCATATCGTACCTGACTGAGAACCCACCTCATGCCGACTCTTGATTCATCAAGTCCCTGAGATGGAGATTCGGAACACAGCATGTGCGGGACAAGAAGAACCATTTCTACCCCCCCAAACACCCCAACATCCCGCTTCTCGGTAAATATGCCAGTCGCATCATCGAAGGGGGGTATGGAGTCATGGAGATATAAAACCGCTGTCAATCTTCTTTGGGGGGGGGCACATCATTGACACCTGGTCATAGTTGATTTGTGATACAAATATGTCCCTATAAGTCAATGACCTCAATTTACTGAAGTTGGTCATACCAAAACACTGTTCAAGAAGGTAAAGGACTTCTGGGTCTTTGGGACTTGTAGGGTATTTGCATTTTAATAGGGAGACACCCTGGACCAGTGGGTAGACTAGGGTAGACTGGTCTAGTTTCCGAACCGAAACTAGGAGGTCGTTGCCTGGGAGGTCTCCCTATTTTTGTCGCACACTCACCATACCAGCACCCTCTAACCCCGTCTCCTTTGGAGGATTGTTCATTAGGGGAATTAATTGTTACTAGTAGCATCTAGTAGCTTATTGTTTCTAATAGCTTATTGTTACTACTAGTAAGGCACTTGTTACTAGTAGCGTGGCACTTGTTACTAGTGGCATATAGTAGAATGTTATGCTGAGAACTGGTAGCTCTCTGAAAGTCGAACGGTTTGAACGACTTCATCAGTGAGCACGAGACGAAGCTGGAATGGGGCGAATCGCCCGATTCCTGGATGGTCAAGCTACCCAGGAAAAGTGGATCACCTGAAGGGTGGGTTTCTCCACCAAAACAAGAACAGGTGAAAAAGGTTGGCCTATTTATTTCCCAAAGAAACTGAGGGAGTCTATATATTTTAATGTAGAACATATTATACCAGCGCCATCCAGTTTGGCTGGTTATTGGAAGGAAATTGGACCGGCAGGGGAGTCTACAAACCAGTGGAACTGGTTGATGCTGGTTTATATAGAAGCAAATCACTGCAGGTTATAGATGAATAAACATAAATAATCATGAAGATGTATAAAGGAGGCCTCTCTGTTTTGAGGTACCTGTACAAGGGCTGTTTGTGGTGTCTGGGCAGGAGCGACATCCTTCTCCGATCCTTTATACTAGCACCCTACAATAGGTTGCCACCTGTCACTTTTAAGTCTCCACAAGCCACCACAGGAGACCTGTAGAGTCGGGTGCTGGTATGTAGGTCATAGCACGATTCTTGAGCTTTCAAGTTGTGAATGTCGAAAGCCTCCCTGATCTGGAAGGTCGCGAGGCGGCAAGTTTTGGAATGTGCGCCAAAGGGTCCTCTAAGGGCTCCCCCAGGTTCACCTTATATAACCACCGAAGCGAGTTCCGGTGGAGCCGACTGCACCAGGCTTCGGTCGCCCGTTTTGTCGACCGTGACCAGGCAACAAGGCCAAGGTACTCTGCCAGAAAGGAGGCAGTCACTTCACCGGCCCCCAAGAGGTTGAAGGTAAATGTTTGCTCCTTCGCGTGACCGGCGTCTGCGTCTGCGCTGTGAAACGAGTGGTTGGTCATGGTCTGCAACACACCAGCAAATTCCTTACGCTTTGAAACGCTGGAGATCTCCACGACATTCTCTGGGGTCTTGCCCAGGCAGCTTTGGCAAAGCATCTCCAAGTCTTCGCTTAGCACTAAAATCTCAAAGCTCGGTACATCAAAAACGACCGAGAGTGCACCAGGCGTGCCGATGGCAGGACAAGAGTCCACACTTGGTGATGCTTTCGTCATAGGATCCACTGTCTCGCCACCCTGGATCTCCCGCACTCCGAGCAGGAAGGATCTCTTGTTGGCGAGATTCTGGAATTGAGCGTGGAACAGTTCAACTTTCACATGATTCTGATCCGAATCCAGCATATCTGCATTGAGGGCCATGACTGAGGTACTTTCGGAAGCTATGGAGGATTGAAACTGCTCGGAGATGCGCGTGTGGTCCTCCTTGGCAAAGAAGTCCAGCAACGACCTCCCTGCCAATCCCTTGCCGCTCGGCGCGCTGTGCAGCAACATGGTCGAGAGCTGTCGGGAATCATCCGTCAAGCTCAAGCTGTCGTCCACCTCCACCTCACTTGGCCAGGAAACCTATAGGAAATAAAGTGAAAAAGTGGACTCAGGGTGGCTCTCCACCTCATGAAAAGCCCAAGAGCCCAGGATGGATCCTCTAAGACTCTGTCTATCCTATGACCGATAAAAGTGGATGATGATGGTTACTAAAGGCCTTGTTCATTGATAGTGATGGTTCTTTGCTGACAGTTACAGGTAATAGGACAGACCCAACCTAAAGGAATTGAACTATCAATCAGAATCTCTCTCTCGCCAACTCTCTCGGATTCAAAATCAAACGGAATCAACACGTTCTGTGTATTGTGATGCATTGCGGCATGTTTTGGGCGGCCACCCCGCCACAGCATCATAGCAAACGGTCAGCAAGGACGAGACAGCCCCAAGCTCCACTTGCCGACTCTTGAGGTCCAGCTTCAAAGTGGCATTCTCCTCCAGTAATTTGCGGGCAAACACGATAGCCACCAAGCCGGGGAGAAGGGCATAGAGAATCACAAACAATGAGTCCTGGCCATCCGCAAGTCTGGCTTCACCTTGCCTGAGTGCCATGAAGCCCATATTGCTACAGGTCACCAGTGCACAAAGAAGGAAGCACCACGTGCGCTTGGCCAAGACCAGAAACATAAAACGCGTCGCAAACGTGAAGAGGATCACATCGCGCACGTCGATCTCCCGTGCCACCAGAATCGACGCATTCCATATCACGTGAGTCACCACGTGCCAGGCATCCAGGCTTTTGGGGGTTATCAAAGAGGGCTTGCAGTTCAGGGTGAGCCCGACCACGGCCAAGAAGAAGAAGGAAACATCGAATTCGGGAAAGAGCCGTGGAAGCCTTAAGGCTGCCAGAACTTGCCTGAGAGACAGGAAGTCAAGCAAAGGAAACATTGCATCTTGCATGACTTGCTCCGAGGTCTTTACTTTGAAGTGACCTTAAGTTGAAGGCCTAAGTATGCCTAGCCGTGGCATACTCAGGCCGCCAACTCCATGCGAAAGGACTATGGAGGTCCTTCCCCACTTTTTCACACCCCTGAAAACCCGTCCCATGGAGTCTGGAGGTTTGAACCACCACGTCAGATTGGCAAAACCTTTCTTCAGTCCATCGCCAGGGTGGCCCACTCACGAAGCGCAGCAGTGCCAGGGCCAAAAGCACGTTCCACATTTGACACGTCACCCTGCAGCGCAACACGTCCAACTCCAAAGCTGTCTGTTGCTCCATCCTTGGTCACTGTTTCGCGGTCGCATGGGGTCGCATGCGGTCGCACCGCACGGCGACTCGGTGACCGGTGTGTAGAAAAACACCGTGTCCAGGTTTTGCCAGCGGCTCGAGCTTAAGGGGGGGTCCATTCACCTCCCCCACATAATAGGGGGTCCGAGAAAAGGTGAACAGGAGGGAGAAGGGGGACCTGCTTGGACTAGAATGAGGAACACTTGTCTCCTCCGACAAGGTCCTCCCTCTGTCTCCCTCGCTCTCTCTCTCTCTCTCTCTTGGAAGATCTGAACATAACGGGGTGCGCTCCCTGAAAACATGTGGAGCTCGCCAGTTCACAGCCAGGGCGGACGGATCTCCCATGTCCATCCATTTCTCCAAACTGCGTTCTACCTCCCAGATCTACTCAGCCTTCCCTGGGGAAAACGGAGAAGTCGCTCGGAGAAACGACTTCAAGGCCCATCGGCAACTTGGGGGTTTTTGGATGCCCATTTGTGTCACAATTGGTTGGACCCAACTGAAGAGAGTCGCACATGTTCCCATTATGCCACTCCTCCATGGTATATATATCTACAGTATGGTTTCAGCTGTCAACCTCTCATGTGTAGATTTTTTCTACATACGTTTCGACATAATATTATATATATATAGAATTGTAGTGATATAGATGATGTGCGTGTGTGTGTGTGTCCAAACATGGAGTGCCCAAACGCCGCCGCTTGAGACGCCTCTCCCCCGCCGAGTCTCTGTCTGGCCTCCGTCACATTGGCACGTCGGCCCCACCAGGCACGAAGCTTCTCCACCGAGGACCTTAGGCCATGCAACCCGAAGGAGGAAAGCCAAAGACCTCAGCGATTCGCAGGGCGTTCGGACGTGCTCCAGCCATTTGGTTTGGGCTCCAGCAAGCCCATCGTTGTTGGGGGGTGAAGAACCACGGGCGTAAGGGAAGACAGACTGGAAACCCATGGTTTTGGAGGTTGAGAACTATGTCCTGCAAATGTTCCATGTATATATATATATATGATACCCATCCAATATGAATGTGGAATGAGTGGGTGGCATGGAGGCCATGAGCCAAATCTTCCGGATGTGGCCACAACCGTTTGAGCGAGTCTGAGTGTGTATCTTGTTGGTGAGTTCACCAACGCAGTCATACACTCCCTGGAACTAACATGAAAGTGGAGCAAGGTCCCTTGGAAGTCAATTTACCACTACAAACAGGTGGTTTTCCACTTCCATGTTTGTTCCAGATATGGATTGAAGTTGTCCCTCCAACTCTTACCCCACTGAGATACTGGGAAACAAACAAATCCCTATCCTGCAGGATTGTGGGAACATGTAGGAATATCATAAGACATCATAAAGCAACTCTTCTGTAATTAATCCAAAATATTCCTGCACGCCCCCCTTAATCCCGAGGACCTATTAAAAAAGCCTCCCCAATCAACAAACACCACGTCCGAAAACTAAAATTCAGACTATATTTTGTAAATTACAGCATATTACAGCCCTTTCAAGCCGCTACTGAACTACCAACATGGTCGATTTTGGGGGTAGTCTCTTTTGTTAGGTTCCAAAAAGAACCGCAACTGCCCACACTCCAATGGCACGGACTCACGCAAACGCACTTGCCACCGAGGTCGTGCAAAACCGCATGGCACAGCGACATCACCTTTCGATAGCTTTGGTTGTTAGTCTAATGAAGAATCAGTTATTCTAATCAAGGTTTTTGTAGGGGAAAAGGAAGACCCTACGATCTGGAGGTTTTTTGAATTTTTGATACGAGTTTTAAAAAGGAAAATGTTGGATCCTGATTAGTAAATGTCCTCTATAATGCTAAATTTCTACAAAATTAGTCCAGACCCCATGTTTGAAAAATTGGTTCTGAATAATGCTAATTTTTTTGGGTGACCCTAATTTTTTCCCGAATGCGTAGCGAAGGGTTCTCGTTTAACTCTTGGGGGTCTGGGGGTAGAGCCTTGTTCGCGACCCGTTGCTTCTATGTTCGCACCCGTCCGCAACCGTTCGCAACCGTTCGCAACCGTCCGCAACCGTTCGCAACCGTCCGCAACCGTCCGCAGTAGGTCGCTCAGGCGCTGCCATTGGGGGAAGCTTTTGCAAGTGACTATGCATGGATGTGTCACGTGTTAGCTTGCGACGCGAGTCCATTGTGATTTGCGTGAAAAGGACATGTCGCGCAAGAAGCGTGATGCGTTTCACTGCACAGGCGCAGCGTTTTGTGAGATCCGCAGTTTGCTACGCAGTTCCATTGGGATTAGCGCTTGGAGAGTCGTGTTTTTGGGGTGTTGGATGTGGCCGTGCCATTGGGATTTGCGTTTCAGGGTGTGGCATCGAAGCTCTGTTTTCGTGACAAGTCTCAGCTGAAATGCTGATTTTGGACCCTGGGAGTGTGCTCAGAACGGGTCGAAATCATTCCAAACGTGTGGTGTGGTGCAAATTTTGGTGAAGCTCACATGAGATGACATTGTTACTTTTCGTGGCAGGCGCAGGACTTTGTGCAGGTTTTGAGGTGTGGAAGTGGGAATTTAGTGGCAGGCGCAGGGAATCGTGAGGTTGCGATGTGTGACGGAGGTGACATTTCGTGGCAGGCGCAGTACTTTGTGCGCGTTAGACGTGTGGACGCGGAAAGATTCGTGGCAGGCGCAGGGAATCGGGAGGTTGTGAGTTGTGGTAGAGGTGAATGTCGCTGTCACATTGGGATTGGCGTGTGAGCGGGTGTCGCTTGGAGGGGCTGGAATCGCGAAATTGCTTGGCAGGGCTGCGTGATGTGTGTGCTCCGATGGGTGTTTCCGCTGGACTTTTGGAGGAAGTCTCGTACGAAACGCTCGTTTTTGAGACTTGACGCGTGACTTTTGGAGGAAGTCTCGTACGAAACGCTCGTCTTGCAGCCTCGCAGCGTGACTTTTGGAGGAAGTCTCGTACGAAGAGTGTGCCCTACAGGAGTGTCCCACAAGAGTCTCCTACAAGAGTGTCCCACAAGAGTGTCCTACAAGAGTATCCCACAAGAGTGTCCCACAAGAGTGTCCCGTATGAGTGTCCCACAAGAGTGTCCCGCATGTCCCACAACAGTGTCCTACAAGAGTGTCCCACAAGAGTGTTCCGTATGAGTGTCCCACAAGAGTGTCCTACAAGAGTGTCCCACAAGTGTGTCCCACAAGAGTGTCCGACAAGAGTGTCCCACAAGAGTGTCCTACAAGAGTGTCCCACAAGAGTGTCCTACAAGAGTGTCCCGTAAGAGTGTCTCACAAGAGTGTCCCACAAGAGTGTCCCGCAGCCATGTCCCACAAGAGTGTCTCCCAAGAGTTAAGAGTGTCCATATAAGAGTGTCCCACAAGAGTGTCCCACAAGAGTGCCCTACAAGAGTGTCCCACAAGAGTGTCCTACAAGAGTGTCCCACAAGAGTGTCCGACAAGAGTATCCCACAAGGGTTTCCTACAAGAGTGTCCTATAAGAGTGTCCCACAAGAGTGTCCCACAAGAGTGTCCTACAAGAGTGTCCCACAAGAGTGTCCCGCGAGAGTGTCCCAAATGAGTGTCCCACAGGAGTGTCCCACAAGAGTGTCCCGCAACAGTGTCCCGCAAGAGTGTCTCACAAGAGTGTCCATTAAGAGTGTCCCACAAGAGTGTCTCGCAAGAGTGTCCCAAATGAGTGTCTCACAGGCGTGTCCCACAAGGGTGTCCCGCAACAGTGTCTCACAAGAGTGTCCCTTAAGAGTGTCCCACAAGAGTGTCCCACAACAGCGTCCCACAAGAGTGTGTCCCACAAGAGTGTGTCCCACAAGAGTATCCCACAAGAGTGTCCTACAGGAGTGTCCCACAAGAGTGTCCCACAAGAGTGTCCCACAAGAATGTCTCACAAGAGTGTCCCACAAGAGTGTCCTGCAAGAGTGTCTCACAAGAGTGTCCCACAAGAGTGTCCCAAATGAGTGTCCCACAGGAGTGTCCCACAAGAGTGTCCCGCAACAGTGTCCCGCAAGAGTGTCTCACAAGAGTGTCCCTTAAGAGTGTCCCACAAGAGTGTCCCGCAAGAGTGTCCCACAAGAGCTTCCTACAACAGTGTCCCACAAGAGTGCCCCACAAGAGTGTCCCACAAGAGTGTCCCACAGGAGTATCCCACAAGAGTCTCCTACAACAGTGTCCCACAAGAGTGCCCCACAAGAGTGTCCCACAAGAGTGTCCTACAGGAGTATCCCACAAGAGTGTCCTACAAGAGTGTCCCACAAGAGTTTCCTACTAGAGTGTCCCACAAGAGTGTCCCACAAGAGTGTCCCACTAGAGTGTCCCACAAGAGTGTCCTGTAAGAGTGTCCCACAAGAGTTTCCTACAAGAGTGACCCACAAGAGTGTCCCACAAGAGTGTCCCCCATCTTGTTTTATATTGGTTTCTTCAAAGCTGACAGGTTTCTTCAAAACTGACAGCTGACCAAAACCACCAATTCCTAATTAAACCCTTTATAAAACATTGTTCCTAAACAAATTTTCAAGGTCGTAGACCAGGAAGGCACCTGATCCTCAATAATAGATTTGTTTTTGGGTTCTCAATTGTGAAAACTGTTTTCCACTGGAAAAATTTGCTCATGGAATCTTCCTTTACTTATCTCCTGAGGCCAATGATTATGATTCATTAGCTGATATAGCTTTCTCTTGAGCTGAAGATCTGAGGCTGCAAAGAAAAAGGATTGCTGAGAACAATCACAAAGCACCTGAGAAAGGAAGCTGAATGCACTGAATACAATCTATGAACGGAAAATGAATACTACAATCAATTACAAAAGGAATCCTCACAGGAATCCAGATTTGTTTTGGTGGTAATTTATTATAGAGGGTCCCCTATTTGTTTGAGGGAGGGGGGGGACCCCCTTTACTAATCAGGATCCAACATTACATATAAACCTTTTCTGGATGACTGTTTTGTTTTGAAGCTCTTCCCAGGTGACCCTATTTTGGACCCCCCCGATTGCAGGGACCCCCTATTAAAACAAAAGCGACCGAGTTTCTCTTAATAGGGGGCGGGGGGGGGGACCCCGTGTTTTTTTATAGGTGGACAGGATTAGTTCCAGGATGGCACCAAGTACCAGCAGGAATTGACGGGAGCTTTGCCTCTGCCGACCTTTTGGAAACCTTCCCTCCCCCGCCATCGCTTCGGTGCTGATACGCTTGGCTGGCATCAATTTCAGCCTCATCACTAATTACCACCATGACCATTGCCACTCGCACCCCATCCTACACCAAATCAGTCCAAATCTTTTGCAAACTGGTCCCGGTTACAAGCTAATTGCCATCATTTGCAATCTAATCACATCACGTCTATGTAGAATATATTCGCTGGTTTCATCTAGTTGGCATCCACAATTTCCACACCAACCCACCAGTTCAAGATCAGGAAACTAAGCCTCAGCAGCACAGCCGCTTCAATGATCACAGCGCCCACATGAAAAAGCGTCTCTTGCTCCATGCTAGCAAAGCTCTGGAGACAAAGCCAGTTGCAGCTTCGGTTCTCGAACAAATGGCAATGGTTTCAACAGGTCTTGGAAGCTAAATCGATGAACAAATCAAGCAAAGGCTAGCCTCTGGCAGCTATTTCTACCAAACTCAGCGTGCCTCTGTCACGACAAAGCCTTTTTTCCGGGCGATGTTTTCATAGGGCAACCTCCCCTCTTGGGCGCTTTGCTGCCCAGCTGGAGACAGTCATAGGAAGAAGTGACAAGGTACACTGAATACATAGATGATGAATACATGGTCACACCACCTGTAAGAACACAATTCTCCAAACCACCTGTCTTCCTTCGCATCAGTCTGTGACCTTTTTCCCTTCGTTTCCGCCAGGTGACGAAGGTTACAGCTGAGCTCCGGTCTTGAATCACCGGCTCCGCCGGTGGGAGCGCACGGGTTGCGCGCCGACGGAGCCAGAGCCTGGCCTCAATCGAGATCCATTCTCTCCATCGTTGCTTCCCCTCAAGAGCTTGGTGGAACGGGTCCGACTCATCAAACCAGAATCTGTTCATGAGCCCTATTTTTCCAGTCGTACCGAACCTCAGAAGGTACGACTGGACCCTTCAAGCCTACATAACAGTGCCTCCAATCACCTAACCTGAGAAGGTATTTGGATAGCTAGGGGAGTCGAAGTTCTGGCGTTGATGCATGTATAGTGGACGCCTATATATACGCCTGTGGACGCTGTTCTTCATTTTCCCCTCGGAGGCAGTTTGCTGGCCAAACACCGAACAAGTAGGATGTTGTGGGCCCTGCGGGTGGTTGGTCTGCAACAGAACGACTGAATGGGAGAAAACACAAGCTCTATGTTCATATCCAGGATCAAAAAAAAATAAACCTATATATATATATTATTGAATCAAGCCACAACACGTCAATTGAACCTGTTCCTGTTGGTAGTCATCCTGAACTGAATATGCTTCACCAAAGTATGGCGTGGATGGCCGGGATCAATTTCAATCAAACATAGAGTCTAGAACTCGCCCCATCTGGGGCTTGGCATTCCTGCTGGATCTCATGACTTATGGCTGACCTAGGGGGAAGCCGCAATCATGGAGGTTCTTCCTCGAGCACGGGCCGTGGGACATTCCCCGAGCAAGCAGCGAGGGCTCAAGCCGATGCTGCCAATGCTTGCTCGGATTCCCCACAGCAGCCCCGTGGAAGACTGCGTCTGAAACACTTCGTTTGAAACAGGCGTGCAAACTTAATTAATTGATTTGATCCACAGCTAAATGATATTGGTTTGTAGATCACAACGCAGGGAAATTGACGTGAAAAGGAAACCAATCAAATTCATGTCATTAAGATTCATATATAATACTATATATTATAAGCCATTTATAAGCCCGTTCTTTCTACATGATGTTGCAAAGTCAGGCACCTGCGGCCCCAAGCCGTGCGTTTTGGGACTTCCAACGTTCAATCTGGTGATATTGTTCACACCTCGTTACCGAGCAGCCTTGCTCTGTGCCATGCCCTCGGAAATCCATTCAACTAAGCAAGATGGGCTCGCCCAACACTGGCAGGACACCTGCTGATTTCTTTCGAACCAAACACTTCCAATGCGCTTTGCAGATGTCCATGGCACTCACAATGCCATGTGGTGAAGTGTGCGAATCATCCCGCTCTCCGATGGCTTCGGACCGCTCTCCTCGCTCTGTTTGGCACGTGACGTTCTCTCTCTCCGTCGGCTCTCGCGCGACTCGCTTTGGCTCGAGAGGCGCCGCAGCGACACCGCGGGCGAGGCGAGGCCGTTGGCCACCTGCCGATGGGCGCCAGAACTTCTTGGGCTCCAACCAAGTGGTTGGGGTAGGTTTTTCGGGTTTAACTACCTTCGGAGGATGTGGTTGGAGCCTTGGGGTGCACCGCACCTGAACAAAAGGCAATGTTCAGTTTTTTTTTCGAGCCTCCAGTTATACTTAAACAAAAAAAACACGGAAAAGCGTATACTCAAAGAGTATGTGGATCTATATATGGATTGCTAATATGTATGAGGAATATACAGCATGCCCATAAGGAAGGTGGTCTTGAAAGCAAACATATTGGCTCAACGATCCGTGCCGTTTCTTTTTCCGGCCTCGTTGGTGCTCATGTGGAGGTTTGGAACCCCCAAAAGCCGGGTGACCAAATGGTCGTCTTTGCCCTGTTCAGTCCCATGGTATCTTCTGTTTTTTACTCAACCCGAATAAATGGGCATCTCCTTGACTTCAGCAGTGCCAAGCTTTGGACGACGAGTCCGGCAAACCTGCCCCCAAATCCATGGATGGAGCTCGCTTCGCCCAGACCAGTCACAGACCAGTCGGTCAAGGAGGTCGGATCCGCGGCGCTGCCGACGACCGACAGCGGCGGGCGTCGTTGGGGGAACTCGAAATGGTAAAAACCCTACAGTAGGAGTCCAAATGACTGATTTTACGCAATAATGAGTGGTGGATCATGATTGCCAAGTAGGGTAGGATGAGTCAGTGGATGTTCCTGGAACATGAGTAATTTGAATTTTGATGTGCTGATGATCTGTACAGTTTCACGCCCACATGTTGCATTGCACGCTAACTTCACGCACATTTCCGACTAGCTCACACCAACATGCTTACAACATTCACAATTCGTCCTTGGAGCTATTGAAGGCCGTTCCATTCAGCTTGCATATGTTTTGCAGTCACGATGTTTCCTTCATAGCAGTGGGTCCGAAATACGCAGCACCTTGGGAGTTTGGACTTCTTGCCCCAAATCAGACACATGACCAGACGCTCCATGTATGGAATATATGCCTACGTTGACCCCCCTGGCACCACCCCAACTGATCGGCATATATGGCAGTCCCATGGAGCGTCTGGGTTATAAGGTTACCTCATGTTACCTCATTTTCAAAATCGTGGTCAAACTGGCTGAGCATGCAATTTGGCAAGCAAAAAAACACAGAATTAAGCATCTGCAGGAGGACCTGTCTACAGTATACTTATAACCCTTTCTTCGCCTCGTGTGTCCTGGTGGTCGCTTGAATCTTCTCGGGCGCCACTTCTGGAATGGCATAGGAGGAACTCTTGCAATGTATTCCAGCTGCAGGAATCCAAGTCCATATTATGTTTGCCAATTCACATGATGACCCCTCATCACTGAGTTCCTTCATCTTCTGGGATGATGCATGTGTTCTTGAGGTTGTCCCCACATCATTGCGATCGTGGTTGGTCCATAATAACCGATGTGGGCCTAGCTACCCTAGGGCTCCAACCCCCCACATCCTCAGAAGGTAGTTCGACCCAAAAAGCATACCCCAACCACCTTGTCCGCAGGTGCTTGGAGGTGGTCTTTGATCCGACGCTGGAACTGGCCGGCGTTCCGCTGGTTCCGCCCCGACCGCCTCGGTCAAGCTTTGCAAGGTGAGCTCCTGGATGCGCAAGACGCCCACCATCGTATTCAACAGCCTGACACGTCTCGGGTGTCTGTCAGGCGTTCAATCCGTTCTGCCGCGGTGTTCCACTGCCCCGTGCCCAACTTGGGGGAAAATAAAGAAAAACCTGGGGAAGTTCGGGGAATCACGGTGGAAGTTCGCCCACCAAAAGCTTCACCACTTGAAAAGGCATCCTACCATGGATACCGACCCGTCCCGTGGGACCCGTTGACCCGCCCCCGCCCCCGGTGAAGAACAAAGGCTTCGTGCAGCGGGAGCTGAAACGCGCAGACTTTAGGCTTGCCAGGTATGTTGCCGGGGTGCTTGTTTACAACGTTGTGGGCTGTATATGACTAATTAATGCATTTAATGGTTAATATAGTGTTCAATCGTTTTTGTTTCTTGTTTTTTGTTCGTCTTCTGCCTTCATTGGACCCTTTGCATGTCTTGCTCGGACTCGCGAGCAGGAGTGCTTCACATGTCACGGCTTGGACGGCTCGGCAGCGGTTCTCGGTCCAGATAGGTGAACATGGCGGGTTGCTTCATGTTGCTGTGAGTGCAGCACCCATAGGATGGCGATGGGATGCAAAACACATGGTCAAAGAGTCAAACCACACGACCAGTGGTGCATGGGAGACAAAATTCGGGTCGTCCCTTCTTCGGGTTCACACGTTGTGTAGCTTTGGTCTTTTTCTGCGCACAGTGAACAAATCGATTGGCTCAACCCGATCGTTTTCGTCTACCACTGGCTCCGGGAGGCATGTCGTGCTTCGCATAGAAGGAGGCCGCCACATCACCAGAACCAATAAGGCTGAAGGTAAAGGACTCCCCTTTCAATCGCTCGTCAGGTGGCCTTTGCAAGTAGCTCTTCACCTTAAGATATGAAGTTTGGCATGTTTTGCTGAACACTTAAACGGATCTGAGAAGTTCTCAGCATCCAAAATGATGCATGTAAAGCCAGGGCGCAAGAACCTGCAAAACATCGCAAAATAGAGGGCGTGTAGACTCACTGGAAATCTCCAAAATATTCTCTGGCAGCCGTCCCAGGTGAAGTGAGCAAAAACGTTCCATTTCTTCGCTTAGAAGCAAAATATCGAAGCCTGGGCTGAGAAGGGGCTGAGAAGGTTCCAGGACGCTATCCAGTAGACTGAGGGAAGCACTGAGGTTCTCACAAGCATGACTGACATCGGTGATATATCGGTGATTATCGGTGATATGATGCACTAACAAAAACTTGTGGGGAACAACACACCACCAAGACTGACAGTCACTAACATGAGAAGTTGGACCATTGGCAGTCAGTTCTTGGTCCCCAGAACATGAAACATACAATTTGGATGTAACTTGCAAAGGCCTATGGTGCATTATTGAGCACCCGACTAAAAACAACACTGATATAGAAGTGACCACACCTCTACAGCTTTCTGCTTCATTCCACCTCAGCCTCTTCAATTTCACCACGCAGCTGGGTACTTCAAAGGTCACGGTGAGATCAGAGGCATGGGGAGAGCTGGACAAAGTGGGAGAGACCGCAGCACTTCCTCCGAGATGAGGCTCTGCAACTTGGATCTCAC